AGTAATAATTAGTATGACCTACTTTGCACTACGACGTGAGATAGCCAATAGAAAAACTTATGTATACAATTTGTATGTGAGAGAAGTTAAATGATATGTCTGAGATGAATTTCCTAGATAATAATAATAAAATTGACTGTGCAAACACGCGGGTTTTCAGATTCAGAAGGAAATAATGTGGCACCAAAATGGTTACTAATATTTTTTTGGAAGTGCTATTGAAAATCTTGAAAGTATACGAAGAAATACTTACATTGCTCATTGTTTGATGGTGTTCTTATTTTCTATGTTTCATAGATTTGCGATTTTTTTAGATCTTGAAATAAAATAAGGTTAAACTAAATTATCATGCTTCTATGTAGCATATCTGCTGACATTAAACAAATTTGTTATCAAAATTTATATTTGGCAAAGTCAAAATTGCACCTCATTCTGTTTGTAACAAAATTTATATAATTCGTAACAAAAAATATAAGATCGACAAAAATAATAAATTTTGGTCTTCAACAGTATATAAAATTTTGAACAGTTTAAATTTATAAAAACCTAATTATATTCCAGACAATTTGTGCTAAAATTTAAAATCTTATCATGTCTTTTAGAACGTTTCTGAGGAAAAGCTTAACAATTTCTGAAAGGATGTAAGGAAGCGCTAACGTTATAGAAATTTTAAACCTTTGTAAGTCCTGTACAATCTGCTTAGAGCACAATTAGTAATCTAAATTGCTGAAATAAGTTTCTCAAATTGGAGTACTCAAAAACTTTTTTTCTCTCTGCACAGTTTACAGGTATTTGTATTAATTTTTAAATACATTTAAATAACCTCTTCATTTGATAAAAATATTTATATATTTTATATAAAACGAACACCTTATTAATAAACCCAGGCTTATAAATATTAATATTTAAATTTTCAAACCTAAAGTAGTATACACTAAGAAAAATTAAAAAAAAAAGAAATAAATGCCTTTGCTTATCTTCTTTTTCTTATATATTCATGTCCATAATTATAAAATCCAAGTTAAATAATCGAAAATTTCTGAAACTAGTGGGTACATGAAATTAATAACTTAACTCAATCCAATATTACCAATCACACTTTGTAATTAATTATACTGAAAAGAGAATATTTATCAAATTCACGCAATTTCCAGGATTAATTAACAAAATTTATTTATATATTACACTAATTTAGATTATAGAGCAAATTCCATCATAGGCATTTCATTAAAGTGCATTCTAAATGCATATCGATACTATAATCCATAATTATATAATTAGAACGCACTTCATGCTATAATTTGTGGTTCCAATTCAGTAAATTAAAATAAAATATTTATTAGTATGTCATATAATGTAGAAAATTTATATTATAAACACATATTGTATAATTATGTTTCATGTTTGACTTTGTCATAATCATTGCTTAATCTATATGATAACCAATAACTACCTAATGCGATCCTAGGTTTTAACACGTAAATTTTTTAAACCGCCACATTTACATTCAAACCACAAAACATTTTGTCTGATATATAAAATTCAAAATTTTCATTAGCAACACAATTTCTATACACAATTCCTCTCTTATATAGATTATTATTTCAATCTCCATGGGAATTCGCATTTCCAGCATCCCTTAGCGGAAACCACATGTAAAATGCTCTAACAGGGTCGAAATTGTTTATCCTATGCCCTTCTAATTTTTGAAGGGTTTAACATCCGCTTGAGAATGATTCGAAAATCCCTGTACCCACAAGTGGGAATAAATTTAATTCGATTCTCTCGAAAGGTCGTGCATCTTTAATAACGAATTAAATTCGAGGTAAAAGAGCAACAATGTAGATTCGGAAAAGAGATTGTTATATTAATGTATTTTTTAACTGGTAATCGATTACCTAAAAATAATTTTTCAATATTGATAGAAGAAACAACTACATAGAATAATTAGCAAGAGCTACATATGACTACATCTGAAAACAGACCAAAAGATCCACCCATGAACAGTTATTACAAACACCTATTTTTTTGTTCTGAGATCTACAAATGTTTGTTCCTATGTATGACGGTTCCCTTTAGGTTCAATCCAAAAAGGACCAAACAATTTATTTGTGAACTTTAAAATTATTTGAGCATCTGAGTATGTCCTTAACCTTCATGTCATTTTGTCTGAACTATATAGGTTTTTGTTCTTACTGAACTAAAAATACTACGAAACCAATGAATCAAAGTTGAGTAAAACAATCGTCATTTTATCCATACTTTCCCTACTGAATTTCATAGATAGATTTGGATTTTTATTACAGAGAAAATATTCAAACTAGAAAGAAATCAGAGAAGATGTGTTCAACATCACAACCCACAAATGGGAATAAATTTAATTTGATTCTCCTGAAAGGTCGTGAATCTTTAATAACGAATTAAATACGAGGCAAAAAGGCAGCGTAGACTCGGAATAGGTATTCTTATATTAAAGTATTTTCTGTCGTCGACGGAATAACTTTTGATGTAATTACGTTGATCAAACTGTTCGGGAAACGTTTTTGCAGAAACTTTTTACCTAATAACGCTGAAGTGTGATTGCTTTTTGTCTAAAGACGCGAACACATAGAGAAAAAATGTTTTCAAATCGAATCATTCTACGAATATAAATGCATGTTTGTATAAAGAGTATTATGTTAGATCAAAAACTAATTTATTTTTTCAGATGGTAGTTTTGATATTTTATGCTCATGACTGCACATCTAAGTCATTAAATGTTCTGAAAGGCAGAGTAAGGTACAAATGGATGAACAAAAACCAATAGACAACATTTTTGTCAAATTTTACTTAATTACCACAAAAAACTTTGATACTATCGAGAATATATAAGATATGTAAAAACTGTAGTGGTCCTTAAAGCCTCTCTTTAACCGATCCTAACTTCTTTAAATATTCGTCAATGTCAAAGCAATATTACTTAATACTGTGAATTAAATCGATATAATTTACTGAATATATGCTGAAATAAAGTTACATAAAATTAAACCATAACAACCGCCGCTTAGTGAATAAATCAAGTTGGCGTAATTGCCGGATCTTAACCAAAGTGCTTAAATTCAAAACTTAGACCCAGTTGTTTGTGTAAAATTTAATCTGTTGTACAAGATTATGAAATATGTACATATCGTCATCAAGCAAAACGTAGGCATTATTAATTCTAACAAGCATAAAATTTTCAAGAGCCTCTAATAAGTTTTGCCTTTGAATACAAAGGTTTAAACCTCTTTGCGATCGCTGGTTTCAAGTATCAAAAGATATAAAGGTTAAATAATATTTGAGGTTACTGAAACTTTTTGTATATCTATCTCAGTATTTAATTATTTATCGATATGTATATGAGTATACAATTTTTTTTAATATATATCATTCATTTATGTAATTATTTACTTTTACAAATTTTGTGTGAGAAATAGTCATTAGTCCTTGAACAATCTTTAAGCAACGAAATGCAGTTTTATTATCTTTTAATATATATAATAATTTTAAATTTGCCGCATATTAAAAATCTGCCAAGTCATATTATTTCTTGTATACATAGATTATTAATATCGAATCGTAATCAATTGATATTTACACAATTCACATGTATGAGTACATTCTTTGATGTTGAGAAATAAAAGCCTAAAAATTTTCAGTGTGCACATTTAATTTTCGTATTTTTACATTCATTGTATGAAGTTACATATAAAAAACGCGTATGGATCCAATGTACTTTTTCGTTTCACAATGGACTGCAGTTATTTATATAATGAAGCTAAAAAAGCAAATCGTATGTAAAAGTTCAATCAGTCTCTATGAATACAAAACCAACATAGAACTATATTATTAGCAATAAACTAACTAGGGATAACTTTAATAAACAGTCTATTTTTTATAATTACTTATTTTGTATAAATCAGTGTATATTTTAGATATTTCAAATAATTTCTATTTAAAGGATTATTTGAACCCACTGAAGTTACCTATTTAGATAGGTAAAAATCAATGATTTGTTGAACAATTTACATAGCATATAATAATATTTAACGATATTATGTAATATTATATAATAACATTTATTTCTTACAGTCTTATCAAAATATGGTATAAAAAATTGATTTTGTGGAATGTTTGTAAAAATAGTAGTAAGAATATTATAAGATCCAGACCATTACAGATTTTATATGGCAATTGCATAGTTAGCTCGTTAAAAGTTCAAATATAATAATAGTTTATTCAAAAATATATGACTAGTAGTTTTATTCATAAAACTTTCATGCTATCAAGATTTTTATACAATGGAAAATATAAAGACAAACTTGCAATGCAGAAAGTTATTGAAGGTAATTTATGAAAGTGATGATTCTGTGGTGAATTTTTATATGATGAGAGAAATGTGGAATTAATGAACTTTCTATTTTTTATAAATAATGAATAGATAAAATTAGTAAGAAGCAGTTTGTTTGTCACTAACACACAATGAAAATATTTTATAAAACATGTAAATATGATAATCAATCGGAAGATATCAGTGTCAACCCATGAAGAAGAAATAAACCATGTGAAGTATTAATAAAAATAATTTCAATTATCAGAATTATTAAACATGTTATACTTTTTGAAATTCATTAATTTTAGTTGAAAACTATTAATCCTTTTGCTACAATTACGACTATAGACGACATCCACTTGACCTGTTTGTACGAGTGTGTCGCCTATAGACGACATTCATTTATCGACTTTTGTTTCAATATTAATTACTCTGAGTTAAGTTATTAGGAGTTTTAATTTGTTATTGTGGTTTTTTATTTCTGTAGAAATGTTATTGGAAAATCTTAAAAAGTGGTGTGTAACAATTACTTGTGCGGCTTGCTGTCTCGTACAGCAGTGTGACTACTGCAGAAAACACTCTTGTAGCAAAAGGGTTAATTATGATTTCAAAATGTGTTTGCTGATTGGTTTAGTTAACATGTATTTACCTGACTTGGTGGCCTGTTGAACTCGTCGGGGCTTGCAGAGTGCGACCTGCGAGCTCTCTGTTCTTGCAATGATATCAAAGCTTGAGTCAATGGTAACATGCAAGCACGCACCTCGTTATTCTAAAATGAAAAATGAAATAAATGCAAAATGAGATGATTAATGGTAACAGGTTACATGATAATGACATCACTTAAATTATGTAAAATTATTTCGAGAATGTGGTATATGTACTGGCATGTGCTGACTTATGACACATGTGGGTGAAGTCGATGCAGCAAGAATTAGTCAGGGATTTGAATAAGTTGATGACTTAATCTGATCATAGGTACTTGAAGTAATTTAATAAAGAATAGTTTATAAAACTTTAGATAAATTCAATTGATTTTCAATTGAGTTTATCATTTGAGATTTTTTTATTATCTCTTTTATTTATCACTGTTCAGTAAAGGACATTCAATAAATTTGATGAATTTACAATAGTCGGCCGAAAAGGGACGTTGTATACTACAAGGACAAAATAATGCACGAGATATTCAAACTGCTTATGTATAAACCTATGTAAATGGAAAATAAATGAAAAGAAAAAAAATGAAGAGTTGAAATAAAACCAAAGAAAATATAATATCTCTGAAATGATATTGTTATTAAAACTGATGTCAAAACTCACACAATCATCAGAGACAAAAAATAAAAACATCTTATTTGTAATTCACATTAAATATTACTAATTGTATTATAAGTTCGGCCGCATTAAAGCATACAGCGCAATCGTCTTCATTCCAAATTTAGTTAAAGGAGCTTTTACATCTTCAATAATTGTTCAAAACTTTCCTGAAACACAAAGACTCAAAACCATTTCTATTTTGGGTATATTGTCAATTAATGACTTAAGAAAATATTAATAACTTCTCGAATAATTAATTAGAGGGTACTCTAAAAGCTTCCGTTTGTGGAAAATGTGTTCGGGGATGGAAATCCCTATTCGGCAAACAACAGATTAGCTGTTTGATTTGTGTTTCAAAGTCCAATATGACAAATCCGACCTATGTAAACTGTTAAGCTTAAACCTAAACTATTAAATGGAACAACGTCACATATATTGACGAATGCGATTAAAATTGAGCCATGATGATTTGGTTTCAGTATTGATTGACGCTGGACATCTATTCCTAGTAGAGCACGCATACAATACTCAACAATAATTGTTTTACATAATTTTAAAGTTTTTAATTTAAATTTGTGAAATAGCAAAAAATTAGTGAAATAAATTGTCAACTTATTAACCATTTGGTGTAAGAAGATTGAAACGTCAATGGCCTTTAGATTTAGTCTTAGATTAGTTCCAATATAACATTATCTTATCAATTGTTAAACTGAGAAGATCTCACTGGAGTTCTTCTTAGACATCGCTCTCAAATGTTATCAATTTAGCTTATAGAAATCTTTATGCATTTCTGATTGCTGAATAAAACAGAATTAAAAAAAAAACTAAATACAACGTTTAAAGTTCACAATTATTAAATGTAAGACACTTAACTGATTTGAGTTATTTGATAAATTGGCAAATATTTTTTTTTAATTATGCAAATGATAATATCAATTTAAGTAAATTGGTCATTAAGAATTCAGTTTTGTGTCACTTGTGAGTACACTATATATAAACATACGGGTGTACTGCCACATATCTAACAAAGTATAAAAATGATTTAAAAATCTCTTGCTCACGTAAAGATGTGTTACTGAAATCCACATACATAGTAGTATAATAGCATAATATGTTTTTTAGTATAATCCATTTCTAAGCGTGTAATTTGCTCATTGTAGAGGTAATACGAATACTTCATCTGGAAATATTTGGGATTCTGTCTGGCAGCAGTTTGGTGTCGGTCTCACGAAGATTAAGTACACTTTCCGTGCAGGCGGTGCTGCCGAATTGGACGCAAAAAGCAAACATGCAAAAGCAGTTTTGAATTGAGAGAATGTTGGTTGACCAAAGTAGACTAACTAAAGATGATGTAACAATCATAGAGCAGGCGTGGATAGTTGAACGATAAATGATATAAATAATAATCCTGGACAGTTTCATACTTATTTGGTTATTAACAGTATCAATATTTTTTTAATTTGATTCTTATGAAACAACTATGAACTTTAGAAGACTCTTAGGGGATATAAAAGTTAATTCCTGGCTTAACAAAAAGTCACAACATTGATATAATTACCTACAAAGACTTACTTTAAAAAAATCTGAATTTTGTTAGCTCTTCTAAAAGAATAGAACGTTCGGAAACAAGGTATGCAAAATGAGTATTAATCTATGCAAACTGACAATTCTCTACCTTAATGCAACTTTTAAATAGTTCCTGTAAATTTGAATGATCACTATTGCTTTTGTATTGTTTTTATAGGTACCATCTATGTTTTACAACGGCAACCGAAAATAGAAAATTCAAATAAAATAATGATTATCCATAATTGACTGATTTGAGTAATGAGAAATTTGATTAAAATAAATTTGAGTAATTGCAGTAATCTATGCATATCACTTGCTCTAAGTTAAATAAGCTAACCAATTTTTTAACAATGTTCAAGAAAATAATAGAATTCATTTTAATGACCAGATTTCAAATTTAGTTTTGATACTAGTAAGCACAACTAGTGTGAAATTTTCAAGAAATCAATTTTTTAATTTTTCCATATATCGATAGGCTGTACTTTCAAAAATAACATACCGAAATTTTAAATCGATATCTTAAATAGTTTTTAGTTACAGCCATTTGAAGAGTATATATAGTATATAGTATAAATATCATTTTATCTTTAAACGCGTTTTTCTCGAAACAGCATTTTCCGAATTTGCTGCAGCGATTACTCAAAAACAAATGATCCAATCACTATAAATTTTTTTTACATGTTCTATATATAGTTCTCCGTAAAATAAACTATCGATTTTTTTATCGAATCAAAAATCGAATTTTGGCAGTCCAAATACGACCAAAATTTTGGATAAAATTCGACTTTTTTTAAAAAAAAAAACGCCGTCATTTTGTCAATTTTTTCTTTATCGTGGGTTATTTTACAGACAATATTATCTAGTTTAACAAGATTTTTTTTAAAATTTCATCCACGTAGAAGGCCGGAATTACTGTAGCAGTGAAGGGCCTTTTTTGTCGCGCCGTTGGAGATCGACGTTAACTTAAAAAATATTTAACTTTTTTTTCAAAAATTTTACTACGTTTTCTTAAAACATGTATGAATATATTCCTAAAATTTTGAAAGTAGTTTTTTGTTCAATATAAATTCCCAAAAATCACCTTTTTTTAGGCGGCTACACTAGTTGTGCCCCTTAATGTGTGAGACACTACGTGAAAGCATTTTGTCTCGCAGGATTTTGGTGAAAATCAAGAACTGAAATATGGGATTAATTTAAAGAACTTAGGAAACATAATGAATATCGAATACTGAATATAGTTGTAAAAGACAAAGGAAAACTAAATAGCGTCCTAATTGGGAAAAGAAACCAGGGCGCCAGATGCAGATAAAAAACGAATTTCATAAAAAGAAAAAATACAAAAAATTGAAAGCTGGGTCAGAAGACAAGGTAGCAAAAAGCTAGAAAGGTGAAAAGTATATTATACATATCGAGCTTTCATACCAGCATCATTATTGGTCTTCGAACAAACACCAATAATAACACTAGTTAATCTAGGATCCGAAATTACCGATGTTGCTGCTATCAATGACGAGGCTATACATCCGTATCATCCAATTTGTTGACGAGCTGTAAACCTAGAAGCTTTAGTAGTTTCGAACACAATGTATATAAACACGATCCTTTGTGCCCATAATAACGAATCAATTGTAGCATTGTGTCGGGTACTTCATAGGGAAGACTGTTGCCAAGCGGGCGCTTATATTAAACAGAGGCCCCCTTGCGAGCCGACGCGCCTTTGTTTGACCGACAGAGGCTCGGTTGGAACAGGTTATGGAATAAGAACTATTATGCATCCACAGCTATAGTGAGAATCCGGGGATTATGTAAACTGGTGGTTTGTTCCGTTACAGAACCCATTTGTAAGATTCTAGAATATGCCAAATGAATATTTGTGTGTGTCGCAAAGCCGCAAAGATCTATTTTCGGATCTGTCATATTTTTTATCTACATGAACGATTCACCCCTTTGTACAAAGATTAGGGATCATCAGATTTAGTCAGCCTTATCACCAATTGCTTGTTATACAAAAATAACGTATTATGAATAATAATAATTTACTTCCTTAGGTGACAGTTTATGTTTTGCCAGAAAGTACAATTCGACAACTTTGAGTTTTCCCAATGTTTAAGGTCACTCTGAATTAAGACCAAAATTAGAACAAGTATGTGAGCCAAAATTGGATTCACACCATATTAATTTACTCTAAAAATTTACTGTTACAATACTCTAAAAATCATAATAAGTCAATTGATATCAGTTGAGAATTCTGTTTTACAGCTATTAGCAAAGACAGTTAATATCGTTCCTTTGTAATTAAGTTTCAAATTTCATTTCGATCCCGAAAGAAACTTAACATGCTGATAAAGTATATGGTCTAAAAAAGCGGCCAGGAAACGTTTTAAATCATCACCCCAAAATATTTTTATCTAAGTTGATATTACCCTTATGGCAAAAAGAGATTGCCCTCACACGGACAATTACGTAGCAAATGCAGTATTGATAAATTAAAAATAAATACTTTTTACCCACAAAAAATCCGCTTTATTGCATTTAGGGTAATTTACCCCGGTTTCCTGACCACTGGTCTAAAGATTAGACTCTTAACAAACATAAAACACTAAAGTCCTACAAAAAGTGGTTGAAATATGAAAATTCATTGATGTTTAGGATGAAAAACTACACTTTCAAGACAGTCAAGTGCGTGTTTGTGCACTGTAATTAAGGTAATTACATATACTAAAAAGTATCAATTGGAGATCGCATTGATTCGATTTTGGTGATAGCGAAAACTTTATTTTCAAAATAAACAGATGCAATTTTTTTCTAAATTGTAAAATCTCACTCCGCATTTATTTAGTTGACTATTTTGCAAATCGGCATTTCGGGCAAAAACAAACTTCTTTT